TCGAAAGGAGCGCCACTTGTACTGACCTTCATGGAGTTCTCCTGTAGGTAGCTGTCAGATTAATTGCAAAAATTAAGAGAAAGCTCTACGAACAGGAGTGAGGGCACCAATTTCCGCTTTGAGGATGTTGGCATTAGCTAGCATAAAATATGAGCGCAAATGAACAAGATTCGTAAGACATACAGACAGGCGATGTTCAGCGTGTTCGAGTCAGCGCAAGAGCCCTGAAGAGATCGCATTCAGTTCCGAATCGAAGAACGAAGATAGGAACAACGTACCCAGAATTTCTTGCCCTTAGCAACAAACTTGCCGTTCAAACCAGTACCTGGGTTGCCTGTTGGCTGTGGTGGCGAGGATGTGGGGGAGGATGTGGGCCGGGTGGTGGGTGCCTGGGTTGGGGCGGTGGTTGGGGCGGTACCCTTTATACATCTACAAATTTGCATGAGTAACTACCGCCCCTCAATGTACGTTCTACTCACTGATAGTAGTAGTCGTTGACATAATTGCAAACAAGACCGGACGCGCCTGAAAAGTGCATGAATAATGGGACCAAGGTAGAACATATGAGTTCAGTTACAAGTTTTCTGTGGCCTGTTAGTCAGTTATGATTTGCAGATAGGGCGAACACACTTACGGCTCCAGTCCAGTTAATACCACCACCTACGGATGGAAGATGAGTTAAAAAGAGTGAACGTAAGTAGCACATGACGCGTACATTGGCCCCATTCAACAGCTTGTCCGCTGACTTGCTGGGCGGCAAGGACGATCGAGAGGAGAGCAACGAACTTGTTCATACTTGAGATGACCTGAGGATGGAGAACAACCGTCCAACTTGTTAATCCTTTTGTACCTCCGCAGGAGAATTGAGAACGTCATCGATGGCTTCTTTCTTGGGAGGTTGAGACGTGTAGCTCCCGAAGAAACATCCTGGATTGTCATGCGGCGGGCCAGAGAACCACCATCCTCATTGCTGAGAAAAGAAACCCAACGAGGAGCAAGTAACACCGGATGAACTTCGCCTGTATAGGTTCAAGGAACAATCGGTCGGCACCATTCGATGAAGCAAATTGCTCGTCCCAGATATGAATAGACTCGGATTTGAGACGAGCATGGCACATATATGGTGGTTTTCATAAGCATACCCCAGTGAAGTGGCAGTGGGAATGTGGTGACGGCACAGCGAAAGTCTTGAACCCCGGTGGGGTTTCCTTCCGATATAATTGCGGCGGGCCGTCGCGGGGACATGCTCTCTTATGCGTTTCTCGTAGCGGGACGCACGCTCCGGAGAGACGAGGTTCTATGCCACTGCGATCGGCGGCCGTTGAAAGAGTTTGTCGGGTCTCGCTGGAAGTAGTGGTCATGCTGTCGAACGGTCGAGAGAAGTGAATGTAGCACTCGCAAAGGCGGGCTATTGATTCGATGATAATCCGATCGCGGTAGTATTTGGTATTTAGTGGGAGCCTAATGAAGCGGATAAATTATTGACATTTGACAAGGGAGGGAAAAATGCAAAAGCTTCGAGACCATGCATAACTCTGCCCCACGCACAAAGGGCGCCATACCCCACATCAACGTGAGCACAAGTCTCTTTGAAATTTAGAGGCAGCGCTTAAATTGTCGGGGATTCGTAGCCTAGAAACTTCGAGTGGTACTCAGTGATACCAAGGCGATTGAAGACTGTCGATCACTCGTGTGATTGCAGTATCGTAGTCTTAAATCCATCAGTACATTTCGCCGTGTCTTCCCGAAATCCCGTATTGCTCACGCTCGAAGCACATTTGACCGTCCGAACGAGGTCTAGGCGTCTTGTACCGGAACTAGCACTGAGCATTTTGCGTGCTGTAACAAAGGTATTGGGTTTCACGTGCCCACCACCTAGTGTCTGGTCTGTGATACAGCATTAGTGGTAAGCATAGCGCATAACCAAAACCTTACATACCTCAGATCCTAGCGGAATGGCGACATCACATGAAACTTGACACATATCTCAAATCAAGCGCGCCTCGCAGGTTCGTAATTCCCATGCAAAAGCTTCAAATTTGGTCCATCTAGGTCGGTTTCACCATCGATCGTTCACTAACTTCCGCTTCAAACTCGACAATTTTATGGGATGCGCAATTGAAGAAAAAGAGGCGAGATCGGAATGCTGCTGCGACAGCAGCCTCCTCCCCATGCGATTTTCTGGCGTGGGAGTTTTTTCAGGGAAAAACGAAACTTGCAGTTTCGCTCCCTTCTAGAGGAGGGAGGAGACGTAGTTTCCGGTTGCGGAGAAACCATCCCTCCACTAGAATTGCCTGGGTAGGAGGCTGAGGGAGCGGTGTCAATGACCTGCACGGTGAACTCTTCTGCGATCTCTCATAGTATAACGGCTAGTACACATACCGAATATTCCACTACGACACGGATATATTGTATGGTGGGTTCTGGGTTCGATCCCCGGTGAGAGAACTCAATGTAGGCGCAAGGCTTTTTTTGATGTTTTTTGTTTCTGAGCGCTCTGGATCCACTACCATGTCCAAGGTCCGATTGGGGGTGTTATATTCAATACCAGTGGCGTTTGTATGAACTGATCGCAGGGGAGGGGTTGAAGAGGGGATGCGGGAAGTAGAGTAACCGATGGTGGAACTCCATCTCAGTGCACGGGCCATCCAGCGTGCATATATTGATCGTTCGACCACGATAATCTCATCGAGGAACTCAGCACTGATATCTCTCATAGTATAACGGTGGGATACACACCTGATTTCGAAGTTGGCGTGGAGTGTTGGTGTGATCTGGTTCGATTCTCGGTGAGAGTTTAACTATCCGCTTCTGTTTTCTTTTGCTTCGTCTGGGTGGAAGCATTCAAGTTTGCGTTCGTTATGTTGAGTTGTCCGTTCGATCGTGCAATCAAATTACCCTCGGTAGACGTGAAATTGATCGATGCCGCATCCATTCGGTTGGGAGGGGCCCCAGGGGGCGAACTTAGATGCACTTCCTCGCGATTAGGCTAGTACCTGCTTTACTGTTAGTGTCACCAATCTCTGATGGTACAAGGACACACACCTGATGTTGAGAGATGACTTCTGTGTGAGATATGGGTTCGAGTCCTGGAGAGAGAGTTTGACCGCAGTGAGTTTGTTTAAGTGATTTTCGTTGAGGCGAGGGGGTACAGTTCCACGGTTGAAGGTGGTGGTCGTTGCGTTGATACGGTATCGCTTCCGGAAGTTGCGTAGATTGCGATTGAAGAGACGAGTGAGCTAAATCGCGATATACAGTATGCGCTAGCCTGTCGAATATATGAAGCGTACCAAGGAAATCTTTTCGTATACTTCACTTCGAAGACTTGGCCTCAACGCTAGAGACGGCCAAATCCAATCAATACCTCTTGTAGTATAATGGTAAATTACACACACCGGATGTTCTTGATCTCCTTGATGCGTGTGGGATCTGGGTTCGATTCCCAGCGAGAGAGTATCTCTTTGACTCTATGCCATTTTGCTCTATCCTTTACCCGCAGGAAGCAGAGCTACTTTTCGGAGCTGAGCTCAAGTCCTGCTTATATCTAGGTCGAGGTCTAGGGGGTCGAACTTGGTGAACATCTAAACGGATCCACGTCTAAACCAACCCAGTAAAGCATCAGATAAGAATCTCTTATCGTATAATGGATAATTACACACACATCGAATGTACATTACAACGTTCGGTTTCGGTGTGGGATCTGGGTTCGATTCCCAGTAAGAGAAGTCCGGTTGCATAGCTTGCTGCATAGCCTGTATTTTTCCTTTTTCGCTTTCTTGTCTGTCCTGGTACAGCGCGTTTGTGATCAAAACGACAGGAGTAACACCTGTTTGTCGTATGAAACCATGGACGTAGGTAGGAGGCAAAAACCACATTGTCGTTGGTTGTGAACGCGGAACAGGTCCAAATGCAAAAACCTTTTTTTACGTAAGCCTCATTTTTTCGGCTTGCCAGCAGACCCTTTCTCCTCCTCTCCATCCCCGTCTTGGCGCAACGCTCTACCTCGGGCTGCTTTGCGGTAGCCATGATCCGAATATGCTCTTCTCGCATGCATAGGTGAATGCGCGGTCCAAGGACTCAACTATACAAGCACAAAAGCGATTCATCAGAAGGGCGACAATGACAAAAACCTCGCAAGCCCCCGCAAAGGTCCACACATGAAGAACACTTCGACTACCGAAGATTAGAATCATGATTGACGAACACGAATCAAACATTGACCGTCATTGTAAGCCACTATTCACTCTCGTTCTCCTCCCCCCTCCTCTTTTTCCCGAACGCCCGGGTCCTCCCTCGTCACATTCGTTTCCGTTCGCATCCACGCTCCTCCCTCCACCTCTCTCACTCCTTGTCCTCTAGTCCATCTCTGAATTACCAGAATATGATGTTGCACCGCTCAAGATTGGTGCCGAAGATATTGTATTGCCGGCGGAGGATGGTCGGAAGGAGTGTTATTGCGAGAAGGAGATCATGGAGCGCAAAGCGGGGGAATGGCAGGGCGTTGAAAGGAACGAAGGGTGTAGAGGATACGGATTGTGGGATACGGTGCGTATCTTGTTCGTGATATGGCTCGTCTAAACGTTTTTTTAGCTTCGGGAACTATTCGTCGTGTTGAACGCATTGAGTAATGGCTCCGTGGACCTAATTCCAACCAACTTTGTCCATCCTCTCAATCACCTCGCCCTGTGCCCTTTCCCTCTCCTCACTCGTCTTCAATCCTCCTGGCGCTGGTCATCTCTGTCTCCTCCCACTCCCTGCACATCGCCTACTCCTCATCCGCTCTCCCAGCATAGCGCTCAGGTACAATTCATCCCTACTTCGCCTACCCCTTCTACCACATCATTACATCGGATAGACTTGACACGTCGTTCTCCACCACATCTGACGCTTCCTGTTCGAATACCTCCAGTCTCATTCGACATGGGCGTCTCTCTCCCGAACGCGATCAAACAGTACGGAACTTATCCGGCAGTCGTGTTCTCCCATGAACGGATCGTCCCCGGCGTCCCAACCTTCGACTTTGGGCCTACCTCTTCCTCCTCCCGGGCCGCATATAACCCCTCATAAACTGTCACCACGTCTGCAGCAGGTGATATATAATCGTGAATCGCTTCTTGCAGCCCAGGGGCCCTCATCGGGAAGGCGTTGAGTTTCGTAGGGTTGGTGCTGGTTTATTACGCATTATTCTCAGGACCTTCAGAGAGAATCATAAACGCTTCGTAATGTCATTGTCATATCTCCTTGTCTATCTCCTTGTCGTTTCGCTACTATAGGTTGTATTCACCATGTCGGTTCCTGTACCTACACTGTGCATCAACCCATCGAGTTCGAACTTCGGTAAGGTTTTCGCACTCGCAGAGTTTACATCAGTTCTATTTCTATACGGTTCATTCTGATTGACGTTAGGTTTAGCGACACCTCGATTCACCAAACGGTCTATTAAAGGGTCTCCAAGATCGATATCCTCAGTCTCATGATCGAGACCAAGGGGTATCGCACTCGACGGACATGATCAGCTCCCTAAGTGGTATGTTCGCTTTGAAACAGCCTTCGACCAGGTCGACAATTATTATTCTCCAGAGAAACGGCACCGTGTCTCCCCCTACAAATACATTCACATATAGGATACCTGTGCAACATCACCTAGCAAATCGTGATCACCGTTTTCTGTTCACCTCCAAGTAACCGCTTGACATTTTCGCGCCCAAGATACTCCTTTACTGTTGTGTGGAACCGCTTAGTCTGTTGGGAATTCTCGATCTTCACAACCAAGCTTCGTAGTAGTACCCCCGCGAGTTGACGGCACACAACCAGCCAAGCAATGCAATCGGGACTCACGGAACAATTCCCCAACATGAGCCTCTTGAGGGCTGGAAATGAGATTGAATTTGCGACTGGTTTGTTGTGGGGGTCAAACTTTGGCATCAACTGTTGTACAAGCGTTTCAGTGATGTAGACGTCGGGAGAGGACAGCTCTAATGCTAAGGTGGAGAGACAGGTCAAGGCGGGAGAGAGGGTCGTGATCATCTCTAGAAGTCCGTTTGCCGTGACTCCACTAAATTTCAGCTTGAGATCTTCCAATCGACAACTCGAGCGGGAGATGAGACGAGTTAGTGCTGGTGGAGCCGTGGGCTCCATCTCGTAGCAGCGGACATGAGAGAGGGATGGTGTCTTGAGACGGTCGAAAAGTGGATCGACACTCTCGCATACCCCAATGCACAGACTGTTGAGATGATGAAGAGTCGTGATCTCGTAAACCGTAGTGGCGACAGCTGGAGCCAATAAAATATTGATGAGCAACTGACGGATGTTCGGGGTCCACGATAGACACTGGATCACATCATCAATGGTGATCGGCTTCACGAGGCTAAGTGAGGTCAACTGATACAGCCGTGCGACGGATGTAGATTTTGGAGAGCCGGGAATTCGGGGTGGAAACTTCTGGTCCCACACGACAGAGCGAAGGACAGGTGAAGACTGGATGACATGCCAGAATTTTTGCGTGCTTTCATCCGGCCAGTCAAATTTTAGGTCGACACTTTCGAGAAGTTGCATATGACAAGGATCGATGTTGACTAGTAGCTGAGGGATTGTGGCAGTAGGTCCATCGAAAATGTTGAATTTGATACTTCTCCAACGAGCAGCATGTCGAGTCCACAGGTCTATGATATCTACCACGTATTTTTGCTCTTCGACCAGAGCTTCGACAGCCATTCTTGAGAGGTAGGAGATGGGATCTTGGATGTACTGATTCAGAACGATGGATAGAGGGTAATACGGACCAGAAAGTTCGAGATAGAACTTCACTGCTTCCACAGTCCTCGCTGTTGGGTGGTAAATGGTTATCGACGCCCAGATCTCTGGCAATGATCGGATTAGTGCTCTCCATGCTTGACAGACATGCCCTATTGTCAGAGCCGTTAAGTCGAGGCAAGGTATTTCTTTATTCTGGGGTGCTACTTCGAGTGGTTTACTCGCAACAACGAATATACCACCGAGGAGTTCAACGGGCAAAACGTGGAGGCCTGGCGTTTTTTCTGGATACTCTTTAAGCCGGTGGGGTATTACGAAAATGAGGGTACAACATACCGGATACTTTAGTCTCTCTCCCAGTCAATGACATTGTGGACATGTTCAGGGGAGGGTTATAGTTTTCCTTCGGATGGGCGGTCTTGAGTTATGTGGAGGGAGGGAAATGAGACGGCTGGCATACGCCGCATTTAAGTGGGGCTTATAAGTGAATGCCACAAGAACAGCATTTGCCTTCGGGAAATATTACGAACCCCTGGACAAGAGATATACAGCGCCTGCCTTGTACTGTAATCATCGATCACCGGAACAGCGTGTCAGGGAACAAGGTCGTCTCGCCAGCAATGCGACAGAGGGTCAGAGTCAAGAGATTGAAACACAAGGGACCAATTGTCCGAACATCATACCGTCAGATACCAAAACGACAGCGGAGAGGACGAGTCTGGCCCGTCATACCGAATATCCGAGCACTTAATTGCTGTTGCTTCGCCTGATTGAAAATTTCATTCATTCTGTCTAAGTGTTTTGATCTTGATACTTGGACAAGCGGTCATAGCGACTCGAGTACGCCACGAATCCCAAGTCTTGTTGAGTTCCTACAATGATGTCAAACCAAAATCTCTCGTAGTACAATGGAAAAAGTACACACACCGAATATTTGTTATATCGTTAGGACGGTTAGGGCAACGCGTGGGATCTGGGTTCGAGTCCCAGCGAGAGAACTCACATGTCAATCGCATCGGTTTTTCTTTGTCCCGTTTTCAACCCGTTTTCTTCCATGATCGCGTCCAACTTCCTGGCCTTTGTCCGGCCATTATGAGCTCAGAATCAACAAATATCGATAGTAAGTTCTGTTCGTGGTATGCAGAAGAGCCAAGGAGTCCAATCCCGAACGTTTGACGACAAGAATGGGTACAAAAAGCGATCTTTAACGTCGGCGCTTGCCACGTCGACGTCAAAGGGTCCGAAACTTCTTACGTAACACGAACCTCCAACTCGGGCTTTCCTCTCGACCATGACGATCTTGCTTATCTACCTCTTGCCACATCCTATCTGCGGACAATATGACCAGTTCAGCTGGGATAGTACAACCGAATATACTCTACCACCATCGCTTTCGTATACGACGATTTTGAACACGTCATCGAAGTCCCGGAAACGCGTCCAGTTCGCCTGGGAGTTTCAGTGGATCTTCAGTGGTGCTTTTTGCGAGTTACGGCTTTCTAGCTGATAATGATACGATACAGCGAAGATGAGCCACTGGAGAAGGAGGACGGAATAGAGCTGCTGGAGCCTGGTGTGCGAGGCGGAAGGTTTGGAGCAGGCCTTTGGAGAGCAGTCGACGCGTGGCGAAGGTCTTGATACCAGGGGGGTATATGGCTCGACTTCTTGGATGGAAGAAATGGAGAGGACGTTGATTCTACGGGTTCGTTGTTGTTATATCACGTCACTCTAACTTTTTTGGTTCATCTTTTTGTCTCGACAGCGTACTTCAACCAGTCGTATCATCTAAAGGAGGGTGGGTTTCGCTATTTTGGTTCTCGCTTGCGATGAGATTGGGGGTTAGTGACATGCCATGCTTTCCGTCTTTCACTTTTTCTCGTCATCGGCGTCCTATCTTTCCCTGACGCTATTCACATATGTACAGACCGCCCTTCCCTCCCCCAATATGTGGGACGACGAAGAAGTCAAAGCAGGAACGTGTTCCGATGCTATCATCGTACCGTACTCTGCTGCATAGCCTCAATGGACGCGTTCGCTACGACTGGACGTAACGGTATGTTATCATTCTGTCTTTTGGTACCAATTGACGTTGAGACTCGGATCCAGCCTTCTTTCCGTCTCTTAGGTTCGTCAAGCTTGTCAAAGGTGGTCGACTTCACATGGCTTCCGCTTATAGCATTAGATAATCTTGTGAGTACCCCTTCCCATCGCGTTTGAACTCCTCGATATTTAAACCGCATATAGTCAGGACGGAAGACGGACGAATGAGGAATCAAGCGAGTGGTATGAGTCGGAGAATGGCGAAAGGGATGAACCGAGAGGGTCTCAAGGCGGTAAGGCGTCGGAATCGTTGAGGCATAGTTCACCCTTTTCGAATTCGGGCTCTCCAGGATGGGCGCTTATTTTGCTGTGGTACGTTCTTTTGTTGTACAGCTTAGTGATTGGCGGAAACGATTGGAAATGTACGGGAAAACTTCCTTATCCTTTCCACTGTACGTATCTCGCTCTCTCCATCTCGTTTACGCCGAGACTGAAACTGGCAACTGTGAAGTTCATAAGATTTGCATATCGCTACCTCATGTAAGGTGTCAACGTCCAATCTCTCATGGTATATTGGATTGATACACACACAGGTTTACATCTT